GTTGAGATCGGGTGCGTTGGTTGGGGTTGGCTTGGTCGGTCTACCGGTCGGTCGATCGGGCGGCTTTGCCGCCCATTTCGTTCGCGCCGCCGTCGCTCCGTCGATCGTCGCCGTCGGTCGCCCTTGTAACAAAATTATAGTATTCAAATTTCGACATGGTCTCTCACCGCTGAGCTGGTTGTGGGACAGATCGAGCCACGTTAGCTTGTTGAGAGCGCCGAGCTGAGCGGGGATCGCACCTGCGTAGATATCGCAGGAGTTGCGGTACGGTGTTTTCGATTCTAGAATATCCGTGCCGCCTACGAAGTGGGTGCGTTGTTGGTACATGTAAGTGGAGGAGTCTGTTCTAGAACATACGATCGTGCGTGGGCCATCACATACGCTCGTTGTTGCGGAGGATACATCTCTGTCGTTCGCCCAGGGCTTGGGAACGTGTGTGCAAGTAGCACAACAGCAGTTGTATTTTGTAAGTGTGAAATTTTCGCGTAGCAGGGATCACACATTTGTTTCTAGCACATGTGTAACGGGACACTCTCTAAAACAAGGGCAGGGCATTCGTTAGGAAAGGTCAACACAAAGAATGTGATAACCCCCGCTCCGTTCCGCTATGTGACATGAACGAAATGCCGCTCCATTCCGTGAAACTCCTTGAAATATATGAAGATTGTAACGATCACCTTAACTAACAGTGTGGGCGAAACATGGGGTTCGAGGGGTTGGAGGAAACGAAATAGCACAAACAGCAGCATTCTGTGGTTGGTCAGGCCCAGTCGGCGTGCTGGCACTACAATACAGTTGTTGTGATAGGGGCTACATGTGGCTGGGGCCGCCCCAGGCGAATATATTGGCACCGACCCACAAACACACACCACATCCTGCTCGGATAAAGACTCATGAGCCATGAAGCCATGAATACACACTTTACCGGGTACCCGGTTCTGACCAAACCGGGTGACAACCCTAGCCATGAATACACACTTTAAGCACCTAATCGCGAAAGGACGAAGTGTCACTATGTATACATCCCGATATGAACCACTATCCGCAACCAACCCAGCATTGCAAAGGCAGTTTTTTTTTTTTTGCGGCGATCCAGCGTGAAAGCTGTTTGAATGTTGCGCATCTGTCAAGTATCTTGAACTCTACTGGGATGTATGATTAAGTATGATATTCGTATTCAGGAACTAGTCTAACAGGTTGCATGGCTTAGCCTCCACGAGTCGCAGTACGTAGTGTCTCCTCTTGGTGATGTGATGGTAGAAAAGTTGGCAATTGGTGCTCGCACACATCCCCGTGGGGGGGGGGGGGACTCATAGTCGTGCATGCCACCTCCCATCCCAACAAAAAAAGCCGGGACGGAACATTCCAGGTTCTCACCGGACCGGGCTCTCACATCACCAAGCGCGAAACTCCGTGAGGTATTCGGCGAGTCGCATGAAGGGTGCGCTGCATCCTGCTAAGGGCGTTCGGGGTGTCTTGTGCTTACTTCCTTGCGTACGGATGAAAGCTGCGTATGACTTCGTATATTTTCTTGTGCTTTCACTCCCAAAAACAGTTGTAAGCATTGTGTATCTACGAGGGCAGTTGACCAATTTTAACACAACGTGGTGCGATCATCCCCCTTGCGCGGAGTGAGGGTTCTCGACCCCGCACAACATAATCTACTCGACCACCATTCATGGTTACCGCAAAAAAAAAAAGGCAAAAAAAAAGAAGCGGTAACCTGGTTGCCGAGCTCACGAAGTGATTGGCTTGTTTTGCAACACCGCTTGCAACGCGACGAAAACCCAACGCCGATGGCAAACACCGGGGGGCAGGTACCCCATAGGTCGCCCCGGTGGTCTAGTTGGTATCCTCGAAAACTTCTCGAGGTCAGGCCAGGGGTTCGAATCCTGGCGTAAGCGGGCTTTTCTTGCAAAATGAGTTTTTCTCTCGCTTCCGCTCCTGGCCTAGTAGATACCGTTAGTTCGTGCTGTACACAGAGGGAAGAGAGTGCTGAACTCTTCTCGCATTAAAAATGGAAGGCAACGTACCGCAGGAGAGGAGGGTAGAGAGGGGCTCTTCTGTGTGACCACGGGTTGGAGTAAAACGGCACTAGTGTTGTGAGCGCTGATTTGAAGTGAAGACAAAAAAAAAAAAATCCCATGAGGTGAAAAATTATAAAAGTTGCGGGTGAAAGCAAAATATAGCTGAAAAAGTTCTCGTGAATACCAAACTTCGACGTTAGCACCGTTGACGAGGAATGGACCCTTCTCGCGGTGAAGATAAAATTCAGCACGTACCGCAGGACGAAGGTGGGGTACGAAAAAATATGTAAAGGAGAAAAATGCCCTGGTGTTTACCCCCTCCTGTGTAACCCTGGATGGTTGTCGTTGTACGAAAAATACGCTGAAAAGTGTAGTACTCTACATATACTGAAAAGTGTAGTACACGTCTCATCACGAAAAATGGAGGGACTGTCGCCATAATAAAAAGGACGAAAACATACACGCACAACGGCATTTAGAGGTGTTTTGTGTTTTCAACCGCACTTAGACTGACGTATTTCCATTGGTGAGCCGGTTAGCGCGGTCGATGCTAATAATAAAACAAAAAACACACACACACACACAACTTTTTTTTCGATCCCGACGACGTGGCACATTCACATGTTCTCCTGGCTCCAACTTCGATGGGCTTTCTTAGCTTGAAAGAAACAAAGCCGAAGTGACTAAGGGTACTGCCACGCTGATCGCGTTTCATTTTGGTGTGGTAGTGCCCTCAGCACAGCAGTTCGCATTGTGCTGGTTGAAAGAGGCACCGAACACATTCTAAATCGCCCCGACGGCTGGTCACAGCTGTTCTCCACAAAGGCTGCACATGTGCTTTTTCAAGACCTACTTTTCAACACAAACCTGCTGCGTCCAACAACCGCGGTCCTGACAGGGTTCAGCATGCAGAAGGGCGCAACTGTACCACAGCTTCCTTCAGCTCCCGGTAGAGTTGATTTTGCAATGTTTCAATTAACACCACACGTCAACTCACTCACATTTTGGCCCTTTGTATTCGTCAGTGTTTCCTAGATTGGTGGCGGAAGAACTTGCGGCTAGAAACGTGACCGTCACCACCAAAGACAACCCTTGGAAGGAGCCACCAGCGGAGGTGATGGAGAGGGGCATGGCCCATGCGGCTGTTTTTCTCAGGGACTTGGATGACTACGGCAGGGCATGGTGCAACCGCCTGAAGGTTGTGTTGGTTGGATTGGGCGAGGCAGGGAAGACCAGTATTGCCACACGACTCGAAGACCGACTCGCATCTAGCTGTCCGAAACCCGAGGAGCGCACCGTAGGCGTGGAGATACGGGACATGAAGCTAGGACCTGGCCCAACCAACGAAGGAAGCGGGCCGAATGTCGAGCTAGACGTCAGCCTCTGGGATTTTGCTGGGCAGAGAGCGTACTACGACACGCACCAGGTGGGAGGGACGATGCATCCTACATAGAATCCAGCAGCGATCCTACCATCGCTACGAAACACGTGAACGAGTGTATGGAGGAAGTATTTCGTTTGGTAACATGTTTGACTCTCGCTGTTGGCGACCTCTCTTTTCTTCGAGGCACACGCTATGACATGCGCTACGTACGGACACCTAATTACGACCGTTCCCCGGATGTCCCGCGGTTTCCCAGATGTTCCTTACACCAGGCGCTCTCTTCGTTCTGGTTGTGGATATGTTCACGTATGCGGAGGGGCATTCACGGGAGGATGCGCTCGAACAGTGGCTTGATATCCTGCAGGCCAGAGTCCCGGGTTCCGTTGTGCTGCTCGTGGGAACGCACACCGACTTATTTGAAGACAATGCAGCCGAGTGCACCGAGCGAACGGATAGCTTCAAGAAAGGTCGGTCGTGCGGGCGAACTGTTGCAATGTAGTTCCAGTGATGGCAAGCGTCTAGTTCGTATCTCGTGACTGTACCTCAACAATTTGTTGGGTGCGATCGCGGATGCTGCTGCTCATACCTCGGTCGGGTCGGTTGGGTGAAGAATTGCAGTGAACGGCAACCTTGTTCAATACATGATTGCGTCGCGCAGCGAAGGAAGAGGCGCGGAGTGATGGGGGCTACAACAGACCCTGCGTAGGACACCTGCAGGGCACATTGAGCCGAAATATATAGTTGGAGGTTCAATTTTTCGGGTGTTGAGAGTTGGGGCTCCACGATGTCCGCGGCTAAGTCGAGCGTATGACACCCTAGGATTTTACGCCTTTCCAACAGCTGGTGGCCCAGTAGTTTTCGTTGGTCGATTCTGTTACACACGTGCAAGCACCACCGCACAGAAATCTTGCCGCTGAACTGTGTCCGAGCACTCGGTTTCCATGCTCAATGCAGATTTTGTTCTACGTCGTCCAACAGCACCCATCTGTCGCCGTGGCCAACAGATGTGGAAGACGTCATGACGCGCATGCGCTGCCAATGTGACTCAGCCAAGGACCGTACGGAAACAGAACTGGGAAAGGGACACCCGGACTTGGAAGGTAACCCCCGCTACCAACCCCTCCGCGTGGTGCTGGAGGAAGACTTGCTTGCCCTGGATCTTACTTCCTCGGACGGACAAGATATTGACCTGCTTCAGCACCGTTTAGAGCACCTTGCCTACAACGGGTACGACGGCTACTCATTCCCATCCGTGGGGAGCGTCGTACCGGAACCTTATTTGCCAGCCATCGCAACGCTCGAAGCTGTTCGTAGGGGCGCGGATTTACGTGGTTCGGACAGGACACGTGAAGCGGTGGCGCAAAGGCTTCGGGAGGGGGACCCCAAGAAACGTCGAAGCTTCGTCAGATTCTCGGAGGTCCTGTTTATTTTTGCGGAACTCCAAGAGGAATCCCTTTTCTCGATTTTGAAAATGAAAACATTTCGCCTATTAGATGATGAACCACGGCGTATATTCCTCGCCGCTATCAAGTCACACGAGGCTCACGGCGCGATTCTTCTGACTGGGGTTGACGGGGGTGGCGGTTCGCAAGAGAAACATAATACGGGCATTGGTGCTTCGGCATCAGCAGCGGACCTCATCATCCACGTGAACCCGTCCCGGTTTGCTGATCTGGTCCGCCGCGTGGTGGACGTTCGGTTGGTAGACCCGCAGCAGCAGGCAAAGGTGGTAGAAGCGATGGAGGCATGCCCGTCAGTAAGGCCGATGCTATTGACACTCACAGACCAGCACAAGAGGTTTGTCAAGGCGGGAGAGGTGAGCAGAGACTACCTCAAGTTTCTGTGGCTTCGAGATATGGAGTTGGGCCAGGCAAGCCTAGAGGCACCGCCTCTGGAGATGAGCGAAGCAGACGTCGACGTGATGGTGGGTAGCTTGCTTGACGTCCGCTTCATGTATCGAGTGCGAGATGGTGACCACGCCTTCGTGCCGGACCGTTACGTTGTAGCAAGCTGTCTCCCGAACAAAGCTGGTCCAGACGTGGATCCAAGGGAGATTTTAGAACTGAAGACGGGAAGTGCGATATATTCGCAGAAGCTGAAGCTTGTTGGGGCACATTCTGTGCCCCCGGGGCTGGTGCCTCGGTTGCTGGCGTGGTGTGGGCGCGGGGAGGGGCGTATCAAGGCGTGCTGGAAACGAGGCGTGTGTTTTGCGTTCAAGAACCACTTGGTATTGCTGTACGAGGTTCGGGCAACTGATGGAACATCGTGGATTGAGTGCCACGCGAGGGGAAATGTGTTCGACGAGAGTGCGAGGACGGCTCTAAAAGACATCGGCGACCAGGTTGACGAGCTGATCAACGACCGCAAGTACGGATTCCCCGGCCTGGGCCTCATCCGTAGTGGAGAGTCGGAGGAGACACTAGTCTCTTCGGATGGTGACCACAAGGCTTTGGTGGAGCGTATCGTGAACGTCCTGAGGGATCAGATGAACGTCAAGTTCATGATGGATAGAAGCATGAGGCAGGACGTGGCCTTAATACGGTGAGCACTCATGTAGTATGTACGGTTCGAATGCATATTGTTCGTACCACCAATGCGCAACGGTAGGGGCCACGTATTCGAAAACGCGCGGCGAAATGTTGCCCGCACAACACCCCACCTACACTCCAGCTACTTGTACATCGTCCCGTGATACCCAACGCTCGGAGGTTGGAGGTAGAAGTTCAAGTAGTGGATGGGAATCCTCGATGTAACGCCAGGGCCCTACTGTTTCGTTGGAACGCTCAGGTGGCCGATCCCCCGCCTGGTGTGCGTGCTCCCCGCCCCCGAGAGCGGGGCTAAGCCACTTGAGGAGAAAGACAGGTCATTCGAGGAGTGGTCGGCCACCCTGCGGAACTGGTGCCTCGGCGGCAAGAGAAAGGGGAAGGGGGTTGCGACTTGACAGCTGCGGCTGTTCTTCCTCTGTCCGTACGACAGGAGCCTCGCCGAGTGCGGCCCCGGAGGGCAAGGCTACGAGGTGCGTTGGCCAACGATGCAGTGCACGGCACGTTGAGATAAGCTCGCCTGTTGGAAATTTCTATTAGTTCAACCGTGTTCCCTTCTTGCCGTCGTATCAGAGACTCACACGGCTGGTTACTCATCATCGGTGGCCTGCTGGGCAGCTGTAAGGTCGAACGCGCGCGTGGTTTCCATTGCCGCACCTACCCCGGTAAACAGTTCATGTCAATTTGAATAACGCAGCTGGTGCTCACACCCTCTTGATCACTGACCAGGTGACGGAATTGCTGAAATGGGCGAAGAAAGCGAAGCCGTTTGCGAAGGTAGGTCTGGCCCTCGCCTCGATCGTGTTCAAGGTGTGCACTGGCCTTGCCATTCCTGAGGCGGACTTCGAGGCAACCCTTGGGACAAAAGCCGGCGGTGCCTTGTCCACGGTCGTCGAGGATTCACTGAACTCGGGCGGCGAGTCTGTGGCGAGCATCGCCGGGGAGAGACTGGACGGCGGTAGGGCGGAGGAGCTGCTCCAGGGTGCCGGAGCGCACAGATACGGGGCACAACAGGTGAAGCAATTGTTTGGCGTTGCCGATTCGTTGCCTTGGAGACTGTTGGAAGTGGAAATGGTCTCAAAAAACGTAGAAGAATAATTTCTGACTGAACTTCCTCTGGTGTGATATCTGCTGGTCTTGTGCGTGCGTACATCCCAATAATTGCAACGTAACGCCCAGCGTACGTGAGACAACGTCGTACACCACTCCGTAGGTCTTTCTTGTGGGTGAACGTGGTGGCATCCTGCAAGCACGCGAACGTCGACATGCTTGCTTTTCTTGCCGTGCGTGACCCTGGTGAGCCTAAGAAGCCTTAGGCATGCCATGTCACGCCGGGGTTCGATCCCAAACCCTTGGACGGTGGTGCCCACCGTTCCACAGACGACCACGGTCTATCCTCTTCGTCCGCCCTCCCAACCAACGTATTCGGTACCCTCCTATCTAGGGATGGCCTTCTCCTGTGCAAGGTTTCACCTACGACACACTCAAGGAGGTTATCAGGAGTTTCGAGGTGGATGGAATGCGGGGCAGGTCTCCCTTCCCGAGCTTCGACGTCAAGATGCATCTCGTGGACAGGGGTGGGCGAGGAGCAGAGTGGGCGTGGGTAAGGACCAAGAACATTGACCAGTTCGTGAGTGCGTGAGCCAAGCTTGAGGCCGAGGTGCCGTTGTGTCCTTTTCCTTCTTCCTTAAGAAGGGCGCGAATCGAGATCGATGGTGGTTCTCCGACCCTCGTGAATTCGGGCGGGTGTTCGTGTGGTGGCGATTGTCGATTGGTGCTCATGCATGAATGTATCGCCGTATATTCCACGTCTTTCAAAGGCGGTGTTCTTAGAGAACAAGGCCTTCTGTATGGGAATGAGATGTCCCTGGGACGAACGATGGATTTGCCCATCGGGGAATGAATCGGGGCAGGACGAGGTCGACATCCAGGTCTACAAGATTTGACCATGCGCGCGTTATTCCGTTGTCATGTTGCCTTCATGGTTGTTTGGATGAGGAGAAGCGAGAGATTGTGCTCGTTTGGAGATACAACCCCGGCCTTGTAGAGTAGCCATCAACTCTTTTAGGAAAAACTCGTTGCTGGGGAATCAGAGTGTTAGGTTTGGTTCCCTGTATATGCTTGGGTCTACTATTATTTTTCTTGTCCTTGCATAACCGTGTTTCCCTGTGTGAGCACGTGCTAATATTTAGCAGTTAGGAGTATCGTTTATCTTTCTTCCAGGAACGTTCCATTTAGTTTCCGCGTGGCCGCTGATAGGCTAGCATTCCGATTTTTCGGGCTCTCACAGAGCAGTATTCCGATATTTCGTGCGCTGAGAAGCCATCCATTCCTATTCACTTCAATTTAGACTGGATTCTTTCCGGCGCTTATTCCGTAGGATACACGACGTCCCTCGCTCTGTCTCTGGCTCAGTCTCTGTCTCTCCCCCTCTCTGTCAACTCACACACATTGTAATCTCCCCTGCACGCAGACCGATATATATTCTGATCTTTTCAGTCAGATTGAACTATCTGTCTGTAGACTATGTATGCATTTTTTCATTTTTTCCCGCCGAAGTGGGTAAAGGCAGGCGTGCTTTTAACATCCACATCGACCGGCAAGAGGTGCAATTACTTTGAGAGCATGCATACATACCACGTAGTCGATAAGGTGGTGTAGTACCTGGATGTATATGTGGTCTTTAAGGATCACGCATCACGCTGCGGGCGAGAGTGTAGTACAGTAGAGGTCCCTGTTTCGTGCCGGTTGCCTGATCAGTGCCAGACCGGCACTATTGAGGGCTATCCACTGTGGCGCCGGTTCGGGCACCACTGACCCCAAATTAGTGCCGACTTACGCACGCACGCACACAGCTTTCAACCGCACTGAGACTGACGTCTTTTCATTGGTCAGCCAGCCGGCACACACGAAGGGATGACGATGAAGCACGAAACAAACGCGTAGTAACAATCGTAAACGTGCAGTCCTCTGTTGTTGCTACGGTATCTGTCTTCAATCCGGAGAGTAGCAAAGACTTCCCCATGACGCTCCCCCACAGGGTCCCCAGACGTGGCCTTAGAAGTATTTCGTGTTTTCAACCGCACTGAGACTGACATCTTTTCATTGGTCAGCCGGTTAGCGATGCTATTAAGAAAACACACACAAAGCAACATAGAAGACAGACGCCATAGAGAGAAGAGGGTACACGTGCTGCTGCAGACCCGAGCAGCTCTACGCAGAGGCGCACCATGCCAAGTGCGGATGGTGAACTGTGCCACGTACAGGACAGAATTTCTTCTGGGGTTGGCTTCATCTAGAGCAGCACCAATGGCTCTTGGAATACTCTCGCGCTAATGTCTAAGAGGTGTGTCCTTCCCTAACCCTCTCCCTCCAACTCCTTCGAACTTGTGGCTTACGACATCTCCTGTTCTCCTCGGGTCAGTTTAGCGAGCGAAATACTTCTTTCGGAACAACAACCGTTCCGATTTTATGCCACTCACACCTCACACGGGCAAATTATTTTCCCCAAGGCCTTCTCGTCAGTTGGACCAGTACGGATATTCGAAGGTACTGAGAAGAAACCGGTTGTTAATGACAACAGCATGCAAGAAACACTCAAAACACTACATCTCGGCGTCGCTCTACTTCAAGGCCAAGAAATACCAGCCCCCGCACCGCTAGCCTGTTTCTTATCCGCTGAGCCCCCGGAGTTATTACTTCACAGGGAAGGCTATTCGAAACAAACCATCGGCACCGTCTTGGGGTCGTCACGATCCACAAACATAGCCTCAACGTCTGTCATCTTCTCACCCGCTCCCTATCTCGACCCCCCCTCCTCCAGCAACACCGCCCCGTCACCCCCGATAGATCCCAAGAACCTCTTCGACCACGCCCCTCCCCTATGGCTCCACCCCGCTCTCGCCGATCTAGCCTCCCCCCCTCCCTCCGCTGTAAACTCTGATTCTGGTGGCTCTGTTGCCACTGCTTCAGCAGCAGCAGGTACGTCGTCATCACCAGCCACGCGGCGCAACACCAAGACGTCGCAATATTTGGCTCCCCCTGCGAGGGCTGCCCTTACGGCGGCCTCCGCCGTCCCTCGCCAATCCAGAGCACCGAGGTCCGGGACCGCTTCAAGCCTGCCCAAGGCCTATGTAGAGCATCAGCATCGTTTGCGGGAGGCGAGAGAAAGGAAGAGCGAGGTTGACGGGTGGAACGAACGTAGAGCGACCCTGGAAACATACAATCGAGGACCGCGTCTTTCTGTCCTTGCTTCTTCTGTGACACGCACTACTGAAGCGAAAGCATCTCTGGCATGCGGCCCGCCCGGCGAAAGACATCCAATCCTCCTGCACTTTTTCCCATCTCCAACGGAAGCCGTGACCACAACAACTAGCCGGATAGCCGTCCCACATTCATCGTCAGCGAATAGGTTCACCGAGAACGTATCAGTTGCAATACGTCCACTCCTGCAGCAATTCCTGCGAACACAAACACATACCACCGATACTCCTGGTGCAACCTGCTTATCGTACTCTCCTGGTGCCAACAAGTGTCGCAGTGTCAGTTGGATCTTGTTATTTACCGTAATCTCTTTCACCTTGTCCGAAGCCTTCCCTACCGCGGAAGCGGTCCACTCCGCGTATGCCCCCGACGGCTCCGACCGGAAGACGCTGGGGAGCAGCGTGTCCTCGTCGAATCCGGCGACAAGGCAAGCGACGCCGTAGGGACGCGCGCCGCCGGTGCGGGTGTAGCGGTGCTGCAGCTCTCCTGGCATGGCAGCCGCGGTAGCAGCAGCAGCAGCAGCAGTAGTCGCAGCAGCAACAGCAGCAGTAGAGCAAGCAGCAGCAGTAGAAGAAGCAGTAGCAGTAGCAGCAGCGACAGCAGTAGCAGCAGAAGGAGGAGGAGTTAATCGACGACCAACGCAGGCGAACCCTAATACGTGGGAGTTTATAAATAATAAATAATGTTCTGTGAGTGCTTGCTGCGGCGAAGGAGCTACGTGGATGTGACGACCGCGCCCCTGTTGTCCTCCTGACGAAAAACAGGATGGACAGGATCATCTTTGGGGTTGTTGTTAGCGAGGAAACCGGTCAAAAAACGCTCAGCCTGTTGGTGTGCTCTAGCAACCGAATCAAACCCTTAGCAATGCGCTTGGGTTCTTGTTGCCAAGAGGAGTGCTTATGGTCACGCATATGGGTCGACCTCGTATGTACACCAGCAATCAGAATATTTTTTGATTGCGGGTGTACATACGAGGTCGATTCGTGAGCGTGACCATATGCGCTCGTCTTGGCAAAAAAAAAACGAAGCACAGTGCGGCACAACAACATACACCAGAGACACAAAATATGTAGTCGTGTCGGAGCAGCAGCGCCTACATCCGTGGAAGACACACCCATGCGCGAGCAGCAGCACCGAGACTTTCGAGACACGTTAGATACAACCAGAAGGGAAACTACGTAAAAGCAACCTCCCCTAATGTAACCACGGAAATATCGACCGCGTCAAGTGGTTGCTCAGTACGGTACTGGCTAGAGAGATCGGAACGGTTTTTAATGTGAAGACAGCAACAACAACGACTACTGCTGCTGTTGCCGTGCAGAAATACTAAAAGAGTAAGTGGCTGGTCAAGATAGATATGTCATAGCTGCTCACCGACATATCTGGCGATGTACCCAACGCTCGGAGCGGCTCCCATGCTGTACCGGTAGCTCTGACACTCCAGCCTTATCTTGGACGCCAAGACGCGACCGTCCGCCGAAATGCCCGCGAACGCGAGGTAGACTCCTTCATCGATCTTCGCAAGGCGGCGGGTAAAAAAGAACAGACGGTGCGAGTAAGTCAGCAACAACATCAACAAGTTTCCTCCATACTAATTCAGCGGAAGTCGACGCCCCGGAGACTAACTCCAAGTCCTGGACAGCAGTGTTCCGTCAAAAGATTTGGGGGCGGGGGGGAGGGGGGGGGATGTCGCCGACTTGACCGAGTGGAGAGGGTCATCACTAAAGAAGAGCTGCTGTTGTGAAGGGGGTGGGGGACAGTCGTCCAAAATAGAACGCTGCGAGCAGTCCCAATGAGGGAGGTAATTGCGGGGGTGCTGGGATGTACCAATAACAACGGGCCAGGTGCAGTTCAAAGCACCATATCACACGAGAGCGCACTCCGACCGCGTACATCACCAACCCCCCCTTCAAAATCCTGCCCCTGGTCATGTACGCATACAAGCATACGCATGGTTTTCACATACCTCACACAGCTTGCGATCCTGGTTGTTAGCGCTGTCCACGATACCCACCCCGACCCCTGGATCACGCACACCTCCTTCGTGATGTTTGCGTCTATTCCGTCGCCTGCTGTAGACATGGTCATCGCCCGCTCTTGCCGTGTCTCCGGCGGCGCCGGCGCCGGCGTCGGTGATGGCTGAGGTCGCAACCGTTGTCTCGGATGCTCGTGACGGTGTTGCATCCGGGTCTGTGATATCGCCGTCGGCTGCGGGGCGCTCGAGGCACATTGCGATGGCGTCGCGGCCGTTGCACGCGGCAACCCCAAGGCTTCCTTGCTTCACCGCTTCTTCCGCGTAGGACACCTGAGAGACCAAGATGGAAGACAAATACGGAGGAACAAAGAGTGCAGTCAGCGCGACGAGAACGGATGCCAAGTCAAAACGCCTCATTACAACGATGGAACATGTTTGTAACGGTTGCTGCATCAAACTTTGTTGTCGTGTAGTTGCTCCATGTTCAGGTGAAGACCACAGCGGGAACACAACGACAGCGCTGAGGGTTTGAGAGGTGAACACAGGCCATGCGCGAACACACCGACTGCTGTGATGCCAACCCCATGTGGACCTACATACATACTGAGGGTCAAATGCCGCGCGCTTGAATAAGCCGTGCTCGCTTGTGTGCTACACACGCGTAGTGAATTCCTGCCGTACACGATGTTCTGCACGAAGTACACGGATGTCAAACACATGGATGCACCATCCCAAACCAAGTAAATCCAAAACGCCTCGCGCTTGAAGAAGCCACTCCACACCCCACGCATGCCGCTGCCGCTGCCGTACGCCTCGACATTTGCACAAAAATTTGAATTTTGCACACACTTTGTTACCCAACGTCGGATTCACCGCAATAGGCGTGTGGGAATAAAGCGCTTGCCACCAGACGTCGGCAACTGCACATACTTATCTTTGGCACACGGTTATCTAAACAATAGCACTCCCGCCGTCACGGGCGGCGGTGCAACAGCAGCAGTCTACAGCAGTACCGTGGTCGATTGTCGATGCTACAGGCTACAGGCAATGAAGTCCTACACGTAATTGCGCCGCATATCATACCTGCATCAGTTTGCCATCGGGGGAGAACACTGTGATGGCACGGTCGTAGACGGCAGCCATACAAGGCCGAGCCGCCAGAATCACCGCCAGGACCGCTATGGGAGCTCGCATGATCCTGTCAGCAGGCTAGATCTGTCCACAGCGCTGCATGGCTGCTGGGCATGACTTCGTTACGGGGGCGACGGTGAATGATGGAGAGATAGGGGGTCCGCGAAACTACGACAGACGAAACATGTGTCAGCGTGTCTGCGACACTCGAACAACGCAGACACGGTAGAAAGAAAGAGGGGACCGAGAGAGTGACCAAAAAGCTGGCAGTAGGGAGAGAGTTGTGCCATCGGAGTGTTCGCACGGAGGTTGCTCAATGTTGGCGAATTCTTGAGCGAAAACCGCCGAAAGGGCCGAAGGTACAGCAGTGAGAGGCGGGACGGTCGGCTCCGCCGAAGCAATCGTCAGTGCGCGCAATGGGGATGCAGCAAGGGTCCATCGTTCGATGTCGCGGGAATCAAGAAGCGAGGATTCTGCAGCGTTCACCTCCACGAACAAATGTGCACACATCAAGATTTGCAGCACCAATGTCAATGCTGCGGTTGGATCCAAGAAGACAGAGTTCTGTCGCGAACACAAAACGCGAAAACGCGTTGGGAGTGGGTAAAGCACGCACAGTCGCGGTGCTTCAGCGGCCCCACGGACACCTCCGACTTACCATGAACACAATCTCAAGTCGACGATATCAACAGAAAGGAACACATGGAACCCTCCAGTGGAGTGACGTGCATAGATGAGCAGTTGCATGTGTGATAGATATCGGGGTAACTCCACCCCGTGGGCTGTAGTAGTGTATAATTTTGCGTTTGGCTCTTGTAGAAGATTCTCCTCTCTTTTCTCTTATGCTCTACACCTCTGTTCTCTGTGCCAACCTCCCCACATGCGTAAACTACGTACCAAGGAACTCTAAAGCAAGACCAAGTAACTCTAAAGCAAGGATCTGCCATTGCACTGCCCAAGCTGCGGAGCCGCGTCTGCTTCTCCGCAACCAAAACCGCGTTTTTGACCTCTGTCCCACCACGGCACCAACTATGCACGCCCGACCTTCTCCTTCCGATGCAGCCGCTCGGTCTCGTGTCATACAGAACCTCTTGGCCTATGCATACCAAAAAACATTTTGAGGGAACGATATTTCCCCATCCAAAAAACATGCTCGAAATCAGAAACGTGAAGGCGTTTAGCTACTGTCGTCCTCGTCGATATCGATTTGATGGCACCGTGCGACTGCCGGCTGGTTCGGCTGCCTCAGCGCTCCTCGTGACGGGCATTGCTCGAAACACGCCACCCGAAACGCCTCGTCCATGTCCCTCGCCAACGGAGTCTTGTTGAACGAAAACTGGCACATACGGAAGGACAACGACGGGTACCACAAGCTCAACGACGGCATTGGAAACCACTGGGTCAGCGCCCAGGTGGGGTGCCCGCCGGCTATATGTAGTCATGGGGGTGAGCTGTAGTAACATGGGTATAGACATGAAAGCCACTTCGACCAACAAACCCAAAATAGATGACTTTGCTGCTACGTATGCCATAGGGTATCAAAAACCAGTAAACTTAAGGTCGGGTCGAGGTCCAACCTCGAGTGTTGGTCTATCAAGTGACGATACTATTTGAATCGCGTTCCATTGCTGTCAGAAACAGCACGGGAGTGGAGTGTGACGCAAAGATAACCTGTGGCATATCGCGAAACACAATACACCCGCGCTTGAATAGTCTCGCATACGAAGAATTCCGTCACATGAGACCATGCCGTTTACAGCCTACCCTAAACTTGCGCCTAACGACGGCACGTTCAAGACCTCGCTCGTGTAAGCCGCGTCCTTGCTGCCGATTATAAAAGAGATAACGTCACGGCTACGCTTTCGTACCTGGCAACTGAAATCCTCGTAATTCGGCGTCATCTCCAGTGCCAATCCCATGTCCTTGGCGAAGAACTCCTCCGTCGGCACCTACAATACGTGGACAGAAAAATGACAAAGCAGGTTCAAGAACAAAATATATACTAGTAAGTGAAACAACTATTTAATTCCATCGCAAGAAAACAAGACGCGCGGTTCTGAAACGAAGCACTCCCAGCGTGCCGAATTGGCGCGGGGAAGCTGAACAGGAGAACGCAGCAAGTGCACACACACTATTTAGCTGAATGAGAGAAGCGCAAACACACACACACACACATATTCATGCGCACACCGGCTACGTGGCTCTGTGGCGCTGGGACACAATGCCAGAAGGAACTTCGCGTTGCACTGCCGACCCGAACGCGCTACTGGAGGCTGAGAACAAGGGATAAAATTACGACAGAGAGAATAGGTGAATCCGCCCCCCCTTAGATATTCTACAGTTCACGACTCTTCTCCTTGCCTTGCATGTGTTCATGCAGACCGACGCGCACCCCGCAGCTTCCAGAAACCTGCACCGCTCCACAAGCAGGCCGTGTCCGACACCCACAGTCCCGTCATCGATCTGCCGCAGCAGAAGGAGCAAAAAACGCGCATCGACGGTGCTTCACAATGTATTACAGAGACAGCATAAACACCCGATCCATTGTGCCGTAGAATAAGCCCGTACAGTGGACCGAATTTCGTATTCCAGGCAAGTTGTTTCGCCGAGAAAATATATTGCCACGGCGCTTAGGCGTGACGAAATAACACTACAACCTAAAGGACAGGGCGGGACTCAAGTGTTGTCGGCTTTCCGCGCTCTCTCGCCAAGTATGACCCATAGACACGGCAATTGGGCTCTTTGCTGATTACTGCTGTAGTTACGAGATCGCCTTACCTCGATATCGTTGAGCTTCGATGGCCCCATGAGCCACTGAGACGCGACGAGGGTCACCCAGGCGTTCAAGCGCGAAGAGAAGGCCGGGAACGGCTTCGAGAACATCACCGCGAAGCTTGCCGGCAGCCAAGAAGGGAAGAGGGACTTCAATACTCGCCTGCAGCAGAGTAAATGGAAAGGAGATTCGTGGGAAGGAAAAGGAAATTCGTGGAAGGGTTGCTAAAAAAGAAGCGTGGAAGCTGGGCAAGGAGGAGACAATCATGGCCAAACCTCTAACTCCTCCAGTACGTGCACAATACTCGCTGATACTGGGCTACCGGGCGCGCTCCGTCGAACGCTTCCTCGGCACTGATATGTATGCCATCGACAAACAAATACAGGGGGGGGGTGCTCAATAACGGCGGTATGTTCCCGGCGCATCGACCCGCGCTATTCAGAGGGACCGTGCTATTCAATGCACATAATGACTTGGTGATTCAGCCTGTGCCCAGCAATTTCACAAGCGCTATATAGGGCCACCGGCGCCAATCACCCGGTGATATTGACGCCCTCCCACCCTGTACCTGGATGCTTCCTGCGTCTTCCGCTTCGAAGGGAACTTCTCGTTCAACACCTTGATCATGTCCATCAGGCCGTCGTAGCCAGGCTCGAAGGCATCGCCATCCCCCCCGACCTCTTCCGCCAGCTTTGACCGAAACAGTCCCAGCAGTATCCGATCCAACGGTCGCGTGTCGTCGTAGGTGGGCGTCGCGTCTGTAGGCCCTGCGCGACCTCGGATTACCTATGCATAATGCGCAGAGTGAGAGAGAGTTGTAGAGGCTGTCCGTGGGGTGAAGCTGCTTCGTATCTACGAACGACTCGCTTGACAAAAGAGGTGTATTGAAGAAAGCCAAACACATCCAAGAACCGAAACCCATGAAGAATCGAAAGACATTCCGGCAAAATCCTTGCAACAACGAAGATTGTCGGTCAGGGGTTCGGAAGTCACACGCCTGGAAACACGTACGCCGGAGTCCCTAATGGCTCTACCTAGTTGGTATCCTCGAAACCTTCTAGAGGTCAGGCCAGGGGTTCGAATCCTGGCGTAAGCGAGCTTTTCTTGCAAAGTAAATTTGTCTCTCGCTTCCGCTCCTGGCCTAGGGGATAGCGCTAGTTCGTGTGTACATAGAGGGAAGAGAGTGCTGAACTCTTCTCGCATTAAAAATCGAAGGCAACGTACCGCAGGAGAGGGGGGTAGAGAGGGGCCCTTCTGTGTGACCACGGGTTGGAGTAAAACGGCACTAGTGCTGTGAGCGCTGATTTGAAGTGAAGACAAAAAATTGCACACATGCAGGTGTGAGCATCCAGCTTGACGAGGATGGTGGCAGGTAGACACGGTTGCATGCTTCTCTTTGGAGGAAGTTTTGAAGAAGGCAGTTCCACCTTCGCGGTTCGCGATGGCTGACCGCGCGCGGAAAGTAAAGGGGAAAAATGATTGTCTTGCATAGGTAGGTAAACATATCGATAACCTGCACCTCCCCGCCCTCGGCTGCTGCTTCCTTAGTCCCCCGTGCCATGATCGCAGGAGGGTTTTTCTCCCTGCCCACGATAACCGTCTGCTGCTTCTTGGCCACTTGCTGGAGGAAAGACCCCGGTTCAAACACGTGGCTGAGAAGCACCAACGGCGGGGAGGTGCCGGTTGTTTCGTTTAGGCAGAAGAGGGAAACAGAGAAAGTGCAGGGGGTACCAAGTTGGAGGAGGTATTTCTGCAAGAAGGGAGAAGGCCGTGTTCGGCTTCCACGTGAGTGAGTTGTTTGGCGCTCTGCGGTGGGATTCCCGCACCTGATGCCCCCCTCAGCCGCTGGCCGCTGCTGCGTGCTGTGTGTGCATCAACTACACACTTCTACCGGTGCTTGTGAGTCGATCGGAGTCTTATAGGGCGAGATCCAGGAGGTGAGGGGTAAGCCAGGCTATCTACAGTACCCCACCATTGGGGTGGCAGCTGTATCTACCCCACCGGCCGTGGCTGCACCAAAACTGTGCCGGCTTCACGGCGGGTCCCATGATGGCCCCCTGCACCGCAGAAACACACTCGTAGATGTCCTGTGTGGATTAGAGTCTCTCGGAGGGCGAGGTACAGCTGGTGGGGTAAACAAAGCTTGTTTTTCCCACCGGTGGGAAAAATATGCCCACCGGTGGGGCGGATAAGAAATTACCCCGCCGGTGGGATAAATAGTCTCGTCGAAAGAATAAGTAGTCTATGTTTTTTTATTGTGTGTATGCATACTTTTACCTCATGTAGCAAAGAGATGCATGTAGACTCGTCTTATTCCAGAACATGAAACCTGGTACAGCAGTACATTACATGTACATGCATGTGTTTGCGTACAAGCACATACTATTGTTATAACCGAGCGTATCATGATGGGCAAACAGATGCCACCACACCGTCACCTTCAGTGGAGGTTTTGCTGCGTCGGCAGGCTCGATACCGGCACCTCCGACAGGGTCCAAAGCAGTGCTGCCCCCGATCGTGGACGAAGACCGGGCTCGACATCGCGTGCTACATCGATGAGGCGGCGCAATCCACGCTGATTTCGATGTTGATGTTGATGTTGGGATGTAGGCGGTGACGTTCGGTACCAGCAGCACAGCGCGGACGAACGCGAGAACTGCAATAACTCCTGACCTCATTCTCGCTCCGGCCCGTCGGTATATGGGACTGTTGCCTGTGCTGGCCAAGCAGAGTGCCACAGCAAGAAGAGAGTCGGCGATTTGCGGTGTCTGCAATGATACAGGGTACACCGAAAAAACGTTCTTGTACGTTGAGCCCCCGCCTCCTTTCGTCACTTTCGTGCTTGTGTTTGCGTCAAGCTTGCGTCATCTCAGAGCTCCGCCACCGACTGGTACACAGACACAGACACCTTTGTGTGTGGCGCTCTTCTTTCTGCGCCTTCCGGCTCGAAAAGAAGACGACAGGGAGGATTGTTGCTTGACCTTTGGGAAGCGAGAAGTATCCTCTTGTTCAGGTGTGTTCGGAAACGACTCGAGACATCGGGGGCTGTCATAAATATCTGCTTGCTGTACATTCCTTACGTGTTTTCAACTTGCATACAGCTCCTGACATCATTTTAGCTTGAAGAGTACATGTGGCTGTGGCGCTGTACTCTGTGTATTGGGGTGTGTGGCGATGGTGTTCAAGGGGGTCTGCTATTTGACGCTAACCGTGTTCTGTAGAGGTTAGTACGTTGAGAACAACAAGATGCGCCGCATTTGGTTGTTCAAGGCTCGTTGTACAACAAAGGTGGCGCCCCTCGCCGCGCCTTCTGCACACCCAAATTGGCGGTGGTGGCGGGGGGAAGCCTAGCTTCGGTTGTGCTGCCCATGTGAATTTTCACACCTATGTGGGGGGAGGTTTTTCTCTTGTTCTATGCATGAGAACTCGGTGTCGTCACGATCGGACAAACAGCGCCAGGCAGTGTCTCTTCGAAATTCATCTCGCCGGTGTCTGTACTAATGACGAACCCGTTGGGCGCCCCACCCCAGTCCACAGGTTTCGTATGCCGCCGTCCTAGGTAGTTGCTGATGCGAATAGGTGGCATACTTGAAGAACAAACTGCTTTGCTCTTCACCGCTCCCGGCGGTGGTCTCTGACCTCGGGGCGAACGCGGCAACAGTTACAGCAGTGTTATGGACGAGGCCTCACTTCCGCCTGGAGACGCAGCACTACTGCTGTAGTTGATCACGTTATTACAGTAGTTGTAACGGTGCTCTGGGTATAACTGACGCTCGGGCTGTAAGCCGTTTGAGAGTCGCTCCAGCAGGAAAGTGAGTTGACAGCGCAGCACGTTGGTGATACCTTGGACAAAATGTCCGTTAGAAGTTGGCCTGTGAATGGGGCATGGCCTTCTGGATGCCGAGACAGTTTCAAGATACAGTCAGACCCCTGAACAGCGTGCAATTAGACCCCACCCCCAACCGCGGCTTGCCTGTCCCCACGTCTGCAGCACCCAGCATATCAACACCTCGACAAGGCGAGAACACCCGCGCACTGCAGTGAGCTGACGGGGCGTTTTGGCGAGGGGGCAGAAGTATGGCCCCCCAACCAAGGGCGGCGCAAGTGTCCCCACCCAAGCCTTGGGACCAACAACGACAACAACAACAACCACCGGGCGGGGCGCTGGGCCCCCCTTCCTCAGCGGCAGGGCCCACTACCCTCGCAAGTGGGGCAGGAGGAGGGGAGCGGTACGCCCGACCATTGTCGTCCGTGAGTGGGCAGCCACAGCAGTTGGGACAGCAGCGCGGGGGGTTGCCGGTAAGGACGGCGGGATCAGCACCTGCTGTCGCTGCAGGCAGCGGCGTTGCCGCGGGGGGCATTAGAAGGCTCAGCTCTGTCGGCGGGCGCGCGGCGACTGCCGGCGGAAACGCAGCAAGTGTCGCTTCGAGAGGGGCTCCCGGAGGGGAAGGCGCCGCTGCTGTTGCCTCGACGGCGCAGCAAGATGTGGGGGCAGCAACAGCAACAGCAGCAGGTGCGACCGCAGCGAACGGCGGCTTGGCCAACGGTACGTCGACTGCTCCTGTTGTTGGGCAGCAGCAACAACAGCAAGCGGGATACGGGACATACGGAGGCGTGCAGAGCGGTTATGGGTCCACGGCGGGGAGTTACGGGCCGGCGAATCGATACGGAACTGCGGGCGCGTACGGAGGCGCCGGCGGTTATGGGAGCTCCTACGGGAGCTCCTACGGGGCTGGAGGGTATGGAGGGTATGGAGGGTATGGAGGGTGAGTGCAGGAGGAAGCCGACCATCGTTGCGGTAACCGGGCCGTTGGTGACCCAATCGTTTCGGTTAGAGCACGATGCCCAGGGTGCTGAGTGGAGGTCGACGGCCACTACGTGTTGAGAGACCGCACACTCCCATGCTTGCATCGGGAGGTACAGATGCCATGCTCTCTGTTGCCTTCGGCATTTTAGGACCAGCTCAAGGTCAGTACAAGCGGCATGTGGCAATCTGAGTGTCTTTGAGTGCTCCGAGACTGGCTGGCTACGTTGCGGCTCGCGAGGCACAATCGCAAATGTCGCCGCTCTCTCGCCGTCAGCCTTTCGAGCGAGACGACTATGGTGGACAACGTCGGCGGGATGCGTTTGGTGTTTAACCGCGCCTTCCCTGTATGTTCATGGGTAACAGTTTTGTTTTATGAGAGTTTTTCTTCGTGCCGCTCTCTCGGCCAATCACATCGCATCGTCGTTCTCCACCTTCGTCTTTACCATCCTCACCCAACCCTTTCTCCTTTCCGTTGTTACTGCCTGAAAACAAACCAGATACGGTGGCGGCTACGGCGGCGGAATGTCCTCGATGTACGGCGGGGGGTACGGCTCCTACGGCGGAGGGATGTACGGTGCAAGCCGATATGGGACGGGCGGGATGGGGATGGGCATGGGCATGGGCGGTATGGACCAGCAGTACTCATGGCTGCACAGCATCCAGCACTTCAGTTCGTCCTTGGGTTACCTGACAGAGGTGGGGGTCTTGTTTGTTTCGTTCTTCTCCGGATCCATTATTGATGGTAGTGCGGCAGGAGTGGTTTTCCCGAAATTTTGGGAGGACATGTAGGCCAACGCACCGCATTCCTGTATGGGGGGTTTCTCATAGCCGTGCATGCCGCTGTCGTTGAGACCATTGACCTCGCACCCCTACGAAGCCAGGATGGAACACGCCGGGTTCTTACCGGACCAGGCTATTGGGGGGGGTTAACGCCCAGGCCCGACAGATGGGACCCTGCTCGACGTTGCTCACTGCACTGGTGGTGGTTTGTTTGGTTGCCATTGGACGACGCCCCCGGCGCCTTTTATGACTGACCCGTGCCTTTCATCGTCTGAACCATTGTGCGTGCGCGGCTGTTCCATTTTCTGCTACGTGTGTGTGTGTCGGCATTTTCAGATGCTAGGGATGAACACCCAGGCGATCGGCTTCGTTTTCGGTGAGTCGCTTCCCCCGCCTCACGCATATCATATGCTGCTGTATATCAGATCCCCGCAGTACATTGTAAGCTCCCGCGGGGAGGGTGGGAGAAGTTCGCCTCGGAGAGCCGAGTTTCAAAGCTCGATTGCTCGACCGGAGAAGAAGTTCCGTTGTCGGAAACGACGACATTCGAAAATATCTCTTATAGAGGTTTCCGAATAGGTGTCGTTTGGCGTTGGCCCCTTCTCGTTTCTGGAGCAATAGAGCTTTGAATATGGGTCCAAAGGGTTGTGGTTCGTGGGTTGTGGAGAAGTGGAGCTTTGAAATTCGGTCCAACGGGGTACGATGTACACCGTTACAGATGGTCGGCGTGCGTTTGTTTTTGCGCACCGTTAGACTAAGAGTCCGTCCGAGTGCGTTGACACCTGGTCGTAGGAAAAGTCGAAGTATTTACCGAGAAGGTTTTCTAGAGATGTTTGTGGAAGGTAACATCATGCCCGTATGCAGTTGGTACCTCGAGCCGAAAAAGATTGAAGCATGGAAAACTTTTCTTACCCGCACCGAAAACGCACAGGTAAGGATAAGCCAGCTCTGTTGCCACCTTTTTGTGGTGTTTTCATATGTGCCCCGTGTGTGACTTGATGGTCGCTGACTCTCCCGTCAAATTTGTTGTTGACCGCTCGTGGCCGAATTCTTTCCTAGCGAACTTGATGGGCTTCCTCGAACACATCGGCAACAGCCTGACGTCGATACAGCCGTGGCGAGAGTTCCCGCCCGGCCACCCGAGACACGGTAAGGAAGGGGTAGCCTTGTTACAGTCGATCGAAGACAGAGCGGTTCTAGAGAGCCATGTAGACTACGCGCAACGACCGTTTGTCAACGACGTAACATCACAAGGAAGGGCAACCCTTCCGAGATCATTTTTGAGAGGGAATGTGTTGACATTTTTTTTTTCATGAAATCCTGGACAGACCGACACTCCTGTTTTCTTTTGTGGATGCTTGGATCCTTGGTTACATGCTGTGTTTGGGCTTCGCCGCTCTAGGTTGGTGTCCGCCCGTGTTTTTAGATTGGTCTTCTTGGCAGCTGGTCGCTACGCTCACCCTCCAACCGACAGTGTCTTTAAGTACCAGTATAGTAGTATTTGTTTACGCCGTGTTGGAGGGCGCCTACGCACGCCCTGTTTACACCGATTACGACATCATATGCGCATCCTCAGTAAGTTGCAAAAGTCCCCTGAATCGAAAACAAATGCCCCACAATTTCTCAGGAGAACCGCCGCCGACGCCAGAGGAAGAGCGGCGACGCTTGAGTCGGCTGAGAGTGCTGCGGTTCGCGCTTACCCTCGTCGTTGCTTACGCTGTGAGTGGCAGAACTTTTCGCTATATTGCGGGGTTGGATTGCGATATGCATAGATGTCCATCATTGTTGCTAAACTTTGCAGTCACTACATGTGGTTCGTTTTCCGCAGTTGGTGTTCTGTTGGGGGCTTAGGGGGGGGGCATGGTGCATCCAGCGTGGGGTTTCTGTGTGGTATTTGCGTGGTGCTCTTGAAGCAGGACGCACTCTGCCGGAACCGGGTCGCAGCAACCCACCTTCATGGTGCCTCGACCCTGCCTGACATGCACAGGTTGTCGTCGGAACTAGCGAAACCGCAGTGCCGTTTTGTGCCAGCTGCGCCCACGTGCTTCCCTAGATCGGCCTTGTAGATGTAGGCAGAACACACCAAATTTGAAAGCAAAAACACACACCCTCCTTCTTGCCTTCCGTCCTTGCCGACGTGGTATCCTTGCAATATGCTTATTTCAGTACCCACCGGCCCGATATCCACCACCCTTACCCCCCTTGCATATCGTACGTGCGCTCTACTCTAACAGGGTTTCCGGGTATCTCGCGCATTACACCGACTCATCTCTGGGCGACATCGACCAAGACCAGCGATCGCGCAAGCATCCTTGGAAGACATTTACAGCTTACAGCAGCGGGGGGGCGTAGGCGGTGGAAACGGACGAGCGAATGCGGCGGCTGGGGCGGCAGATAGAATGGGTAGACGTCAACAGAGGGGGAGGGTGGGGTGGGGGGGTGGGGGGTCCGCTGTTTCCGGGGCGGGAGCTGGAGGCGGGGGCTTTGGAGGTAGCGGGGAGGGGTTCGATGGGACGGATCCTTGGAGCGGGTTTTGATGTTTGTTGACGGTTCGCTGTGTGTTCGTGAAGGGAGTGAAGACAGAGACGAGAGTGTATTCAAGTTTCGATCTTCGGAGACGTTGTTGCATTGTTGCATTAGATGACTACTTGTAAGTCCTTTGTTTGGATGTGGTGTGTGGTTCGCTGTCGGGCGAGTGATGATAGTTGTGGTAACTGTCTTATGTTGTCAGTGTGCCGCTATTTTCTGCCGTGTACCATGATCAATACCGTGGACCTGTTTTAGCGATTGCTTAATCGAGTTTCTGGGCGAGATATGTGTCCGAGCGCTGAATGACGCACCGAGTGCCGGTAGAAGCTGTAACAGTTGTAGGGTACACGTGACTCAAGGGAAAGAAAGGCACGTACAACAAGCACCCGGATGAAAGTCCTATCCGTCTCCCCCCAAAGTCGAAGTTCGGGTGCATGAGAGAGCTTGCTCGGCGAGAGCTTTCAGTGACGATGTGCTCGGCTGACATCGGATTGCGCATCCCTCGTTTTCGTACCTTCGGGTAGTGTGCTTCCGCAGGTGCCGCTGCGCCACCGAATCCTGGCGTCCTCTATCGTGGTTTGTGGTGTTCAGTCTTGTCTACCCCCATCATCTTCGTCCCGTCCATCACGTCCGCAAGACTGTGGTTATATCTCCAAGGGGTAGTCTTTCTGTGTGTTCTTGTATTTTGCCTGAGGCTGCAGCATGTACCCAAACCGTATTGCTGCCTCCTGAAAAGTGTCATGTTCGGGCCGCACACCCCACTGCTCTCAGTGTACTTGCGAAAGGACGCTGCTCCGTCTGTTGCACGTTGCGACCTTCGGCCTCCAGCCAGAGATGCTCTCGTTCAAACGCTTTGGACACCCACGCGTGTCATGGACATTTGAGTTCTCGCTCTCAATGGACCCGACGCGAGCAATGCAGCGTTTCTTTACAGGTTGTTTCCACTTTTTCGCCTCTTTGTCATGTTGCGACCAACTTACAGTATCATCTCTGAGGATTGTTTTGGCGACCATTTATGGCCTGACCTGCATCCAAGTGCTCTCTGATCAGGAAGTGACGACACGGACAGGCACAACAAAACACAATAGAAAAATGACTTGACCAGGATACGTTGCGATCTTTAGGGAAAACCAGCAGCACACGATAAACCTACATGATGACTACATGTAGATTATGCTGCCAAAGAGTACGGTCCATAGCTCAGACTCGAAAACTGGGCGAAACGCACACATGGCGAGGAATCCTAACAAGACACCTCGTACCCCCGAAGTGTGGTACAGCAAACAGTGCATCGTGTGCATGTCGTTGTGTCACTGAGACACTGAGACACTCCCCGAGACTGACTTTCAGGTTCTAGCGAAACGACACGCGAACCTTCACCCGGGGCAATCGGCCATAAGGAATGTCCAGAGAGAGCGCACCATTGTCAGCAGCACAGCAGCGCAGAGGCAGACCTGCTGTCCCTCTCTCCATCACGTTACCCACCAACTCGATCTGCAGTTCCAAGCCTGCCTTCTCCCCCCTCTCTCGAAAGGTAGGCGTTATCGTTGGCACAGCTTGCTTGTGGTGGGCTTCCTTCTGGCAGCAAACTGACCAGCACCCGCTCGGAGCTTGGTAGAAAGGACCCGAGACCGTGCTGCTGCGAACGGGGTAACATGGCGGGGAGGCCGGAGGGAGCCAAGGCAAGCCCCGACCGGGCCGGGAAAGGGGCACCCCGGTCCAATGACGCTCAGATGAAGGTGCGTTTGTTGTGTCCAGCTACAAGCCGTTCAGATCGGTGCGCGTCATCAGTGAACGCTTGGGCTTGGAATGTGTCTCTGTTTGCAAGAGGGCCTTGGGCGCCTGTGTACCGGATTGCGGCCAAGCGCAGGCTCGTGTGACCTGTGACCACAGCAGCAAAGCAGCTTCGTTGCCATGCGTTCCGTCCTAGCAGCGCTTGCGATCCATTTCGTAGGGCTCCCTACATTGTGTGTTCGTGGGCAATGTTCATCGTCGTGGGCTGTTTGCAGGAGATGCATTCGAAAACTTGAACAGATTGTATAAAAAGGTGTCACGCACAAGAGTAGTTGTCGACAGTTTGCAAGCAAACACCATCTTGCTTATAGTACGTTGGATGACCAAACCTACCGCGTGGGGCTCAAGGGTAACGACCGACATAGTGCGCGGTTGCCCCCCCTCGTTCCCTGGCGGACCTCCTCTGCTGTTGTTCCTCTGCTGTTGTAATGCCTGAGTCTGGTATTCTTTTCCGAGTATGTATTGAACCGGATTTTCCAAGCTTGTACATATCGGAACATTGCTTAGAGAGGATGTGTCCTATTGCGAAGTTACACGTCGTTTTCGTTTTTTCTGTTCGGATAGAGGTGAGCGTGCGGTGCTTTCTTCAAGGACATGCCATTGTCAAACAAGATTTGCTAAACGGCAGTAGGTGTTCCGGTTGAGGCCCTCACAACCGTCAACAATGCCATCTGCTTCAAGTTACTGCAACTGAGGCGGAACTACAATATTTACTTTTTATCACCGACCGCCTGGTGCGATTTGTTCCAACACCCCCGCTGTTGTCAATCCTAGACCGTGCGTCTGACTCTCAGCACTGAGCAAATACACACCGAGGAACGTTTCGAAACCAACATACCTGCTGGTTCGTCAGTTTGCTGGGGGCTCCACCCTATGTATGGATCAACTTTGCAAACGGGCTACACGGGCATTTGTGGGCACGGCCATATACCGTTAGATTGTGTCTCATCGCACCCCCTGGTGCTCGTTTTTTAAACACACTCGCCATTTCATTTCCACCGCACAGGGATGCGATAACTCCGGACTTCTGTGCGGTGACGCTGGCCCCTGTGTGAAGAGTTCATTAAATCAGTTGGTTTTGGAATTTAACGCACATCCCTGTGCGAATTGTCCGCCATGTGACATCGTGAGAATTTTTTGCTTGGACTTTTAGGCACACCCCTGTGCGACAACTCCGGTACATATCAATCTTTGCGGGCGTACGGTTACCTCGGTTGTGTTGCGGTTGCAGGATCCACACGCAACGCACATACGCACACATCAGTCAACCAGTTAGCGCGGTGGATGCTATTGGAGAAAACACGCATACACAAACCAACCAAGCGGCGAAATAAGAAATCCCGTCCGCCGTCAGCGGAAAAAACGAAATTTCCCACCGTCGAGTTGTGCGCACGTGCGCGACGCACGGCAGTCACTTAGCAATCGTGCCAGAGGGTAGTTGTTTTGGCTTGCGGCTGCTGTTTCTTTCTCGTACTTTGGTTGATTGAGTGGGCCAAGTTTACCGAATCAATGACAGCAAAATCGATGGGAGAAAGATCAGGACCCTTTGGTCCCATCCCCAAAATAGGTGCATACCCTAAGAGTATCCATACCACGGAGCTCCCGAGTCTCCGTAGACCTTCTACACATATGCTATCATTGACCAACGTCTACAGGTTTCGCATTCCTCGATAATCGACAATGACAGAGCCTGGCGTTTGAGCATTGCAGTCGAAGGACAGGACCGATAGATAAGGCGAGGGGGTTTCAATGGATCGACACGTGTCTTGCGTTTCTTGACAGCGGTTTTGCGTTGGCGCTGGAAGCTAGTTTGTATGCTTACTGACCCTCGGTTTTGTCGCGAGAATCTTGTAAAATATCCTCCGGGATCACGGCAATCGCAAAGGTGCTGCTATCTTTCCACCCTTGATGCTGTGTCGACATATTAAAAAAAATCTGCTACCATTGCGTAGCCTCGGTGCCTTTTTTGTCGACCCAGCACCCCGAGATTGATGCTCGACGTGTGTCTTCGCCCGAATGGTACTGCTTTCGGGCACTTGTGCTGCTGCTCGTGGTAGCTTGACGGTCCAGTACACGCGAGACATAGCGGAACGTGCTTGTCGTTTCTGGGCTGCCGAAACGGCTGTTATTTTATGTGTGTGTGTGTGTTTTTTTTTCTGCTCCGACACACCACTAGAGATCATTTCCTTGATAGGGTGTGATTTGGTTTAGAGGCTAGATTAACAGGGCAGGAACGCACCACCCCCCTTGGGGATTGAAACGACGTAACATCAGCATTTTCTCAACGATATGGTTTGAAGCGTGACCCCAAGCGATTGCGTTGGAGTCGGTCGTCTTGCCACATGGTGGGGGTACAGCAGTACCGTGGGAATGTGGAAGATGGTGTGTTCAAACCTCCTTCATTTTATGCAGCGAGAGTAGGACAATTCTGCTTGCAGCGCGTGGTGCGTAGGGGGGGGGGGGGTAGTCTTCCCGGCAGAACCCCTTACAGGAGGAGTGACGCAAATTCTCATTTGCTCTGCTGTCACATTAACCGCTGAGGTTTGCGCTTGCGACATCGAACCCGCGGCATCCACCTTCGAAACAACAACCTCCTGTGCAGATCGCCTTGGGCGTATAACTCGAGACGACGAATAGCGCACAAACGTACCAGCAATTTCAAGACGCTGAAATGTTTCGTGCGCAGCCCTTTCGTTCGTGGATCAACAGCAGCAGCTCAGGGGGGAAGCCGTTAGCATGGTTCTGGCCATTCGTGTGAATGACGAAACTAAAGATCGATCTGGTGTCAATTCAACCTCCCTCCCTTTATCGCTGGCCATCGTGCGTAGGCGGAGAGGCTGAAGGAGATGCTCAAGCAGAAGTACAGCCGGCAGAAGGAAGAGACAGACGAGATGGAGAAGCGAAGGAACAAGCTCGAGGCGCAGATGAACGAGGTGAGCAACAATCGGATTATTACAGTGGCATGCATCGACTCGGAAATACCAGGGACTTACTTGTACTACTTGTAGCTCACGCCGAAACAAGTAAATCGCAACAATCCACGATGAATTATCACACGTCTAGATTCAGCCTGCCGGGTGTGTTTTTGCACCGATCCAACCCCGCATAGATCACAGAGCACTCAGGCGTATCGGCACAGTTGCGCCACCTGTAGAACAGCGGGTCTATGGTATACACTTCAAGTGAGACTATATTTCTTTGGGTCAAGAGCGCAGAGTAGAACGTGAAACGTTTCACCCATCCATCCACTAACCCTACCCCCGCTTCCTGCCGTGGTTACTATCAGATGAGCCTGAGCGAGGAACAGAAGAAGACCTACCGCGAGGAGCTGGGAAAGATGGAGGCTCAGACGATGCGGGAGACACGGAAGCGACTCAGCACGGACGACTTCAACTCCCTGGCGATCATCGGTCGAGGGGCTTTTGGAGAGGTACAGGAGTTTGTTTTTTGTTGCAGGGGTAGAGAGCAGGGGGGGTGAGCCGTGCAAAGAGCGCCTTCTGTTTGACTTATTGTCAACACATGGGCCGCCCCTTGTTTGTCGGCCGAGCGTGGCATGCAAGCACCAGACGATGACACAGCAACGCTAGCGACGACCTGCTTCGCCACCAAACTTCTTCGTATTAACGGTGGTGCTGGTGGAGGTGCATCTTGTTCGAGACCAGTACATACTAATGGTGCTTCGCACAAGAGGGCCCCCCCCCTCTCCCCTTCACTGATCCGATGCCTTCCTAATTGGTGGAACCTCGAGAAGCGCATTCCTGTCGGGCTTCGAGCGTCGAATCAAGGTGACGGACTCCACTCCACTCTAGTTTGAGTACCCCCGCCCCCCTCCCCCACCCCGTCGGGAACGTTGCCCGAATTTCGGCCCCCCTCAGGTTCGGCTGGTCCGTAAGAAGGATACAGGCGTGGTGTGGGCCCTGAAGAGCATGACCAAGGACGCCATGGTTGTCAAGAACCAGGTGGATGTTTTCTATCTCTTGTATTCGCTGTTCACCACCTTTTAATTCAGACCCCAATGAACAACCCAAACAGACGCGTGTCTGGCGTGTGTTGTATTTTGTGTGGTTTATTTTGTGCCCCTTGGTTTTGGGCAGGACACTGTAGTTCTCTTTGAATTTTTGGTTTTTGGGACGTCGGATGAGCGCGAAGTGCGTGGCCTGCACGTGTGCGGAATAGGCTGTGAAGACCGACTGGTATGACTCGAGTGATCCCCTGCCTCCCCTGTGGTCAACCTGTTCCCTCAGTGGGCCCCGTTTGTGTTGGACGTATGTACGATGCTTGATTCGACTGGTCGACATCTGTATCCTACACAAGCGATAAACGCCCCCTGACCCGTGGGCATGGCACTGACCGCTTGACCACCCTTGATAGGTCGGCCATGTCCAAGCGGAGCGCGACATCCTGGCGGCGTCGGACAACGCTTGGGTCGTCGGTCTTGAGTATTCCTTCCAGGACGACATCAACCTCTACATGGTATGCTACAGCGTTTGCACGCAAAATGGTTGCGTGTAGGGTACCTCTACAAGTATGGCACAGCGTTTGCACGCAAAATGGTTGTGTGTAGAATACTGCGGGCATTCTATTTTCCTACATATCGTAACACCTTTCCAAGGGCGCCAAGAACCTCTCGCCCCCCCTGCAAGTGGCTCGCTCTACATATGGCATATTCACGCAGACAGAACGATTGCGTGTAAGACGGTCTACACATTCTCCATCACGATAACTCTTCTGTGTGCGCCTAGAACCTCTCGCCCCCATACTGTATCTCTCACACGGTGCCCCCTTTCCGTGCCGTTCTTCAGATCATGGAGTTCTTGCCGGGAGGCGACCTGATGAGCCTGCTCATGAAGGAGGACATTTTTCCGGAGGTGGCCACTAGGCAGGCAAGTGCGGTGTGTGTCCCGGATGTTTTCCAAAAGAACCCAGGTGGCTGTGATTCGGGTCGGACTGCCGTGCAGTTGTGCCCGCGTTCCCTCTGACAGCTGTGGATGTACTCGTGACTGCGGTTGTTTGGTGGACGTGGATAGCTCCACCCCCTCTCATTCTCATTTAGAGCAATCCCGCATCATCATCCATGACGGTACGGGGTACGGCCGTCGGTCAACCTGACGGTATATACACGCGGACGGACCGCTGTTTTTTTTTTTTTCGTGTACGCCGGTGACCGGCCGCACCATAAGACCAAAAGCTGTCAGTTTTCCCAAACCCAAGTTTTATTGTTATGTAGGACGAAAGTGCTGTCCCCGTTCCTGGAGGCACCCTGGCCAAAGACGAACTGGCGGTGCCCCCGCCCCCTCCCCCTTCTCGAGGACGCGTGGCCAATGGTCTAACCGCTAAGGCATGCAAAAGACGAGTACGCCTGCCCCCCCTACCCCTCCCTTTCGCTACCGCTGCACCCCCTGTTGCAGTACATGGCCGAGATGATCGTTGCCGTCGCAACCGTGCACCGCTTGGGCTACATCCACCGCGACCTGAAGCCAGACAACATCCTGCTAGACTGGCAGGGTCACCTCAAGCTTACGGACCTAGGGCTGTCCAAAAAGGCGAGCAAGCACGTACTTGTCTAGGAGGAGGCGTTTTCTTTCTTGGTGATTCGTTTTTTGCCAGGATTACTTTTGCGCTGTAAGCGTTGATTTTTGGAGATAGCTGTGCAAAGAGAGACAGGAAACAGAGTGTCAGAAGAGGGCACGGATGCATCAGCGTTAGAGACGAGACTTCAAAATGATCCCTCAAGGCGTGGGGCGTGTCAGTGATGTTGCCGTCTTTTTGCCTTTCCTGTTTCTGGTGGTGGTGGATTCGCTCTTGGTGTCCGTCGGTGTCGATCGACGGCTGTCTCGTCGCCTCGTGACCTCTCGTGCTGTGCTTTTCCATCGTTGTTGCAATTTCGCCGTCCGTTTTTTGTTATTTTTGTCCCGCGGCGTTCGTACCGGTTTCCACCGGGGGCAAACACACACGTGAAGCAATACACAATAAACCCCGCTATCCCATACACCCGAACAAGCACCAACCAAACCAAACGCAAAGAGTGCGAGCACTGCATTACCGTACCGCTGTCGTGACATAACGAGCAGGTTGAGATCAGCCCTTCCTACTTCGGGGTAAAGCCGGAGGACCTCAACGTGCACGCCGCGGCGGCCCGGGAAGACACCAGGCCGATGCCGGCGAAGCCAGTCGGCCACGTGCGCGGCCACACCGGCATACAGGGGCCTAACAAGGGCAACAAGGTTAACAAGGTAGGTGTGTACTGCAGGGATGTTGTCAAGACCAAGGTGTGGTTGTGGGGGGCGGGGCAGGAGAAAGTTGTGCAGGGCGGGGAATAGGTGGTGTTGTTGTCGTGCGGCCTCTGCTGCTGCTGCTGCTGCTGCTGCTGCTGCTGCTGCTGCTGCTCGTTGTTCGCCTTGTTACCGATGTTGTTGTTGGCTGCGCTACCGCCGTCGGTGATTCTGCGGATGCCAATGGTGGTTGCCATGCCCTTGTCCTTCGGTCACCGTTCGTTCCTCGGGGCCGACCCGCTATGACTGTTTGGAAGTTGCAACTTGGCGTTTTCCGCCCGACCGCGTGTTGAATAATCCACTACCGCCGGGTTTTCCAGGACCGAAAGTTGGCGTTCTCGACGGTGGGGACGCCAGACTACATCGCGCCGGAGGTACTCGCTCAGAAGGGCTACGGGGCGGAGTGCGACTGGTGGTCTCTTGGGGTACGTACGTGAGCGGGTATTGTGCGCTTCGTTTTCGTGGTCTTTTTTCTGTATCAAGAAGGAAGCGGCGGATGATGTTGCTGTTTGTTTTAGTGGATGTCGAAGTCATGAATCTTGTTTCAGGCGCAGTGGCACGAAGCAGGTTCTAAGGCTCCTGCTGTGCGTGTGTACTCATGCGAGGCAGCTGGAAGCGTCAGTGCCTCTTGCCCTTTACCCCCCCCCCCTTCGCGCTTGGTGATGTGAGAGCCTGGTCCGGTGAGAACCCGGCGTGCTCCGTCCCGGCTTTGTAGGGATGCGAGGTCAATGGTCTAACGACTACGGCATGCACGACTATGAGTACACCCCCCCCCACACACACACACACACCTTTTTGGGATGCATGGCCAACGTTCGAATGAACATCGCAAGCAAACCTGTTAGTAGCACACACGACAAACCAAACCCAGTTAATATGTCAAGATGGCGCACCCCCTCCAACAGACCATCATACACCACAACCCGGTGGCGTTGTTTCTTAGCTCAACGTGCGCCAGAAACAAAATATCACTCTCGAGCGAAACGGGATATAGGGCAAAGGAATCGGAAAGCACTCGCCCTCCGAAATGATGTGTTCCTCTACTACAGTAGGTAACTTATTTGTCAACGCCAAATGTTTTTTCACGGGGGTGTGAAATCTTGTGCCGCTGACCCCCTCCCCTTCCCCCCCCCCCTCGTGGCTCCTTCAGGTAATTATGTACGAGTGTCTGGTGGGGTACACGCCGTTTTACGCCGACGACCCAGTCATGACGTGCCGGAAAATTCTCCGATGGCAGCAGGTGCGCACGCTCAAAATGGGTACCCGCTCTGTCGTTTTTGTTGCCGTCGATTTAACATCACAGCAAGTCCACATCCCCCCAATGAGGCAGTTTGTTTTAATCTAAAGGGGTGGATTTTTGAAACGTCAAGATGCGGCCTGAAGAATATAAAGAACTGTGGGCCCTGTCACTCTGCTACTGCTGCTGCTTTGGCTGTATGTTGCAGGTAGATGCGTTGCAGGTAGGAATGGTTAGGCATGAGTCAAACGTTTTTGTCGTGGTCGGCTGCTTTTGGTGCTCATAATCGGTCTCCCCCCTTTCCCCGTTTTATTGCGTGTCCCTCCGCTCGTTCTCTCGCTCTCTCTCTGTCCGATGAAACCAACAAATGAACCTCAAACCTTGGCAGTTTTTCAATGTCCCGGACAACGTGGTGAGGAAATTGAGTCCCGAGTGCATGGACTTCATGATGTCGTTCGTGTGCGAGTCGTCCACGCGGCTTGGCAGGCAGAACATGGACGAGATCAAGAGCCATCCCTGGTTCGCGTCTCTGGTGAGAAGGGAGCCGTTGAGAGCCGTGGGGAGCCGTTGACCGCAGCCTTCGCACCGACAGTACCTGCTTTCGTTGTTATTGCTGTTGCTGTTGATGATGATGTTGATGCTATTGTTGTTGATGTTGTCGTTGTCTTGGCACGAAAATACGGTTCAGGTCTCTGCTCATTTCCTTCGAACATCCGCATCGGTCCAGTTGACGCGGATGCCGTGACTGGTCATGGGGCCAACTACCCGAAAAAGAGGGTATTTATAGTAGACCATTCTAGAAGTCAAATAATGCCTCCTCGATTTCACGAGTTGCACGTCTTCATCTCAAGTTTTTCTTGCTCAGTGCAATCTGTCGTCTTTATCTCATATTTTTCTCGCTCAAGGCAATCTATCGTCTTCAAGATTGACGCATCAGGCAGTCTCAACTATGTTGAAGCATATTTCGCCGAACCTCGTAGTGGTTCAAAAGTGGGCCTACTGCAGATGACTTTGTGTTCGTGTTATGTGCTTTTTACCGTATCGTACCGTGTACGGCCTTGCGCTTGAGCTTTTCTAGGTAGCAAAACCAAATGCGGAAGCTTGCGCAATGCCACTGTATGTACTTACACCCGCGGTGATATATTCTGGTTCAACTCCCGCATGCATGCTTATGTACGGACATGCCTTTATTTTGGTGTGACTTTGGATTTTCCAGAACTGGAATACGCTGCGCGACGGTCCCGCCCCGTATAAGCCGGACAGCGCAGACAATATGTCGGTCCTCCTGGAGAGCGTGAAGCACGTAGCGGCCACGGACCCTGAGATGCCGAGGCTCGTCAAGAAGATCACGGCAAACTTCGACGACTTCAAAGAGGTACTAAGGCTGCTGCAGCAAGAGACGGGCAGCACCTTGTCGTCGTCCATGGGTTTAGCAGCCAGCCTGTGCGGTTTTGAGCGAGATGTCAAACAGCCAGCGCCGCTGGTGGTGAAACAAACATGTGTCGTAGTTTTCGGAGCGCACCATTCCTAATAGAGGTGAAAGGTAGAACGAGCGGTGGATCCCATCGCTGACGCTCTCTTGAAGCTAACGTAACGGCAACGCCGGACATGAGCATGAACACGAACGCCAGCGCCAGTGTACATGTCCGTCTGTGTCTCGAAGAGGAGCCTCGTTCATCAGCCATACCTCTCCACCCTACCCCCGGCATCTCTGCCCTCTGGCCTTCCTTCCGAAGCACGAGGCCCATATCAGCTGTGAACCGAGCCACCGTTTTTCGTTTCTCCTGCTCCGCAACGCGTTGCGTATATTTCCAACTGCTGTATACCGAACCGCTGTTTTTTCGTTTTTCCTGCTCCAAATGCGTTACGTATGTGGCCACAACTCACCTAAATCACCCGCCCGTCACCCCCACCAACACAACAGGAGGACGCCACGCGGTTCGGCGGTCAGAAGAAGGTAGTCCGCAGGGGGGACAAAGACAACCACTTCGTCGGCTACACGTACAAGAGGAAGCCCACGGTCAACACTAGCCGCCCCTCCGTGGCCGCTGCGGCGGCGGCCACATCATCATCATCATCATCAGCAGCAGCAGCAGCCGCAGCGGCCGCAGCGCCAACATCCATGGAAGGAGAGGTCTTCATGGCAACGGGGGGGGCGGGGGCCCGGCAGGCAGTAGGGGCGGGGGGGGGGGGGGCCCCCGCC